GTTGAACCCGTGGTTCAACCGCGCAACCAAATCATCGGTGTTACTAGTTGAACTCGATCACCTCAAACATCATATCCGATAATTAAACACAACCATAAACCGTTATCATACAAACTCATTATTCGAATCCCAACCCACTTATTGAATTTTACAAAATGTGAGTTTATTATTCAAACACTCAAAGCAAATACCCTAGGTTAGGGGTGATAATCGGTTGGCGGTTTCTCGGTTCAACCGAAAACCGCCCCGAACCGAAAACCGAAAATAGCCTGGCGGTGTCGGCGTCGGTTGGCGAATTTGGGTTATAATGCTAACCGCAAACCGCGAGTGAAAAACCGAGCTAAACTCGGTTCAACCGAAAACCGACTTCTCACCCCTAATCTCCCCCTGCAACCCCCAGTCCCCCACTCTCTTCCTCTTCCTCTTCCTCAACACGATTTTCCCTCTCCTAAACATGATTTTCCCTCTCCTCTTGCAGGTCTCTCCCTTCTTCTCCGTTGCCTTCTTCTCCCTCCTCCATCGCTAACCCATATCCTCTCCCCTAGCCGCTCTCCGCCTCTCCCCCTCTCTTCCTTTCCCTGTATCCTCCAGATCCAAATTCACAAAGCGGCGATTTGGTTCTCCTCCGCCGATAAGAAAGCGGCGATAGTCGAGATTCAGCGAATAAAGGCCAAGAAGGAGAAGAGGGTCGTTGTTGGAAGCAGCCCAATCCTCTAACTCGTCGCCCCCCTCACTCCGCCTCCCAATCCAGAGGTCGATTTCGAAGCGGCGATGGCCGTTGCTCCACCTCCGCCTTGCATGTTTCGAGCGGCAACGGATTCAATCCACGCCTCTGCCTCTCCCGCCGATCAAGAACTCCGACCATGTATGCTCGTCATCGCTCCTCCTCTGCCTTCGGCGACGGATTTAGATCCAAATCCTCCTCTCGACGCTCTACCTCCGACGGGTCTCTCTTCTTCCCCTGCCGATGGTTCAAAATTGGGATTTTTCGGTGACATGCATAGCGATGGTGGTGGTCGGAGGTGGTGTGCGTCGGTCTCTGAATAACCGTCGTTGAAACCGAAACCGACGGTTGCGGTTTTCGGCTAACCGATGGTGCCGTCGGTCGCGGTTGCGGTTGCCGATTTTACCTCTTTCTCGGTGTCGGCTAACCGCCTTTGCGGTTCGGTTGAAACCGAAACCGCACCGCTAACAGGCCTACCCTAGGTGACCATGACAGAATAGTGTTCCAAACTACCTCATGATGGTAGTACAGAAGGATAGGGCAGCCTCAGTAGTCCGATCCTAGTTGCACCTGCGAGCCTGAAAACAGACGTGGGTCAGCAACTAAGCTGTGTGTGTGGATCTTTCCCACGACCTAATTTTGGACCACAATCAGCTAATCAAACAGTCATAATCAACCACAATTTAGTACTCTAGATGCCATCTTAATTCATCCTATATATAAATCATCGATCAATATATCGAATCAACTAACTCATCATCACCAAATCAATTTATCCAATAAGATAATCACATAATTTCACGAACACATAATCAATGCATGATATGAAAATTCCCATTAATTATTAATGGCGCCAAGGTCACCATACACTTACCCTCGCTCGAGCAAATCATCATCCGTGGTGCTCATGCAACCACAACACTCAATCCGTGGTTTTTAACCACAACACTCATCCGTGGTTTTTAACCACAACACTCATCCGTGGTGCTCATGCAACCACAACACTAAATCGCATAAGCAAGCTAAATCTACCCACTCTCAAGGGGTGAGGGTAAATGCAGGCCCTTTCTATATCTACGTGAATTAATATGATCACGAATCAAACCATTTCCATTTTTCTCATCCATCACAATCAATCCGGAATCAATGTAATCTTACGGATTAACCAGTTCATATATATATTTTCCGTCGATTATCAACTCGACATTTAAAAAAAAATCAACTATTTCACCATCCAATACCAAATCACATAAATCATCTCATTCTCCCGTAAAGCTACTCAGCAGTACCATATCACCGTTCCTCATCCAAAATTCATCAACAATATCACGAAATAGCGCCAACGCAAATAATTATAAATAACCCGGTCGCGGTTAAAAATGTCCTTAACTCAAAATTCACTTTCCTTCATTAAAATCCTCACACAATTCATGTAAATGAATTTATTGACACAAAAAATCCATTAAATCTAGTTCTGGTCATAAAAATCAATTTAGACAATAAAGTATCAAAAATATCGTATTAACCATTATTTTACGGTAACTTAAATTCCAACAAAACAGTAAATCCAAAAATCTCCCAAAAATACAAGAACCTTCATTTATCATCCTAAAACAGGTCTGTCCAGTTTTTATATTTTTCAACAACTCAAAACCATGAAAATAATATTACACTCGGTATTTATCGCAATTCTCGTATTAAGCTCATTTCTACCGTTTTAAAGATAAAAACTCCACCAACTGTCTAATTTACCCTTTTCAGGCTACAACCCATTTAACAAGCCATACTGACCATTTTGAAGTGATCCAAATCTTAAAGATAAATAAAACACGTTTTTTTACCGAGCTTTTCGTAAAATTCACCGTTATACAGTTTTTAATCCGAAAACCATTTTCAAGTGAAATCTTCTGCTCAATCTGCCCCAACCTCATTTTAGACAAACAAAAATCTCTTAGATCAGTTTTAGACTCAATAAACCCAACTATTCATTTTTACGGGGAAACTCGTCAAATACCGATATTTACACCGTAAAATCCATAACAATCAAGAATAATCACCAAATCATCATATCAACAAATAATTCATCACCCAAAGTAATCCATCCATCCAAATATGCAAATCAAGCATAAATAATCGATGCAATAATTAAGGTCCTCTTAATCCCCACACACCTTAATTTAGCCGATTCCAAGTCGGGAATTAAGTTCTAAAATTCCAGAGATTGGCTCCTAAAAATTCTCCTTGATTCTACGGTCCCGTAGGCGAAAACGGTTCGTCGTTTGGACCTCAAACGAAGAAACTGCGAGCTAATCATCGTTAGTACGAAATTACGGATTAATTATTAATTTTCTGCATGTCCCAAAATCAGAAGAAAACTGGAAATTTTCCTACCTCGCCTACCAACTTCCCGGCCTTGTTTCTCCCTCGTCTGAGCTCGGAATTCAATTCCGTAAACTCTGTGATGCTCGTGGAGACTTTCTCTTTGTAACGGTATCAAGCTTCGAAGCTGATGCTGCCTGTAGTGGCACTGGTTTGGCCGACGAAAAGGTTACGGCAAATATTTCGGTAAAGGATATTTGGTGAGTTGGTTTGGCGATTTTGGCTTGTAAACAGGTTTGTATAGGTTCTAAACCTTTGCTGGGAATACAGAGACTATGCTAGGCTTTGGTTTCATATTATTTCTTTTCTTTTCTCTTCTTGGTGTTTGTACGAAGGCAAAAATGGAGAGCTAGCTTACCGGTATAATAGAGCTCCTTGATTCATGCTCTTACCTCTTCATTTACTTTCCAGAAGATGGAGTAAAGGCCTGGGGTGGCCTTCTAAGGAGCAGTAGCTTTGAAAGGAAGAAACTCAAGTTCCAAAGCCGGCTACATAAACAAGCTAGCTGCTGGTGCAATGCCGACGTCATTAGCTCATTAATGACTCGGCTCCTTTTGTATCACTGAAACAAGCATAGTCCAACTGGTTAGGTTGCTGAACCATTCCTTATTGACCAGAAGGTTAGAGGTTCGATAGGAATGACCAGAAGGTTAGAAGTTCGATTCCTACAATCAACAATTTATTTTTGTTGCACTTTTTGATGTTTGGGGAGTTTTAAAGTGGTTTCGTTGATCCTACCTCGTATAGGATAACTCGTCGATATTTTTTTTCAGTCTCGAATCGTATAATATCCGCCCGTCATCTGGAAAAAAAAATTATTAGAGGTTCGGGATGTTACAAGTTATGGATGGCAGAGTGCGAGACATAGAGATATACCCAGGTGATATTCATATATATTTGCGGACACTGACATACGAGCATCCACCCAATGCTCAGAAGTACGTGCCCCAGGAGGAGGAGGCTAAATGTCACCTTCAGGAGTTGGTTGATGAGGCTTTACGCAGAGGACCTGAGGCAACGAAAAAAGCAGCAAAGAAAGTGTTTCACGGTCTCCACCCGGCGGAAGACAACATTCACGAGCCAAAAGTGAACGAATCATGAAAGGGCCGCCCAGCCAAAAAATCAACTGGAAGAACTAAAGGGTGGTGGGAAAAGATACTGCGAGGTAAGAAGAAAAACATGAAAAAGAAATCGGGAAGCACATCGTCGGGGTCTACAAAGTCGACTAGTACCAAGTCCACGGGGACTCAGACAGACGAGTACCCGTCAGAAGACCATGCAACTGAGGAGTGTGATGATCCCGAAGAAAACAACAAATACAACTGTTCTGACACAGGTACAATTTAAAATTTTCATAAGTGTAGTTATTTATATTAATATTTTATGTAGAATTTGTGGTGATTATCTATTTCATTCACAGTTAACCCTGGATCAAGCACCCAATATGATTACGCACACATGGAACTGCTTCCTGTCTTCGTTCGGGATCTTATCATTGCCATCCACGACCCGGTGCCAGACGCTCATTGTGGGTTTCGTGCACTTAGTTTTGCATTATATGGTAATCAAGATGGGTTCCCAGAGGTGAGACGACTACTTGCTGAAGAAATCCGTCAGCACGATTGGCGATACGCACCCATCTACGGTGCTGATGTGAATGCGGCAATCAAACGCATTGACATCGCGTGACAACTATAAACAAAAACCATACAATTTATATACATATTAGTTGCAATCAAACAAAGTTTTACTTAATACAAATAATTTCAAATATGATTGTACTAACCGTATCAGCATCCGCGATGTCGCGACCAGGTCGGCTGTCACTCAGTATCTGTGGGTGCGAGTGCCTAATGTACCACCCCATGTAATCCTCAGCAAACTCCCATGGCCTACGTCATATCGGAGTAGAATAAAGGTCCAGATGCACACTATGCGCCCCCAAGTTGTTCCACCACGAATCATAAACGGACTGGTAGCTAAGAGAGTATCCAAGCGTGGAAGCCGGTCGACGCACAACAAGCGGACGCTCCGGGGGATACGGTACACTCTGCACGTAGCCTAACTGCCGGAGGCACCTAGTGGGAAAATATGGCTTTACTATCTCTGCAAATCTGAGCAGGCCCTGATACAAGGTACGTCTCACCGTCAAATGAGGACTCTGACCATACGGAGTCCAACAAACTGACTGAGGGGTCAAACTATCAATCGCCTGCCGATAATAAGCCAGCATCTGGGCATCCCTCTTCTTCTTCTTCGACTGGGGTGAGATACCGCTTCTTCGTGGCTCCAACCGACTGGGCCTCAAGGTAGGAAAGTGGTCGTAAATCCAACACTGTAGTAAAGTCAGACAACCCGACACTCCCTTAGCCTCCGCCCGGGAGGCAATACCAAACTGCCTGTACAGATAAGCAAGTGTTCCTGCCCCCCACGCGTACTCTCCTAGCATATCCGGCCTCTTCACAAACAAGTTGACAATAGCAGAAACGCGTTCCTTACTCTTATCTACGAACAGTGTGGACCCAAGCAGCAAAAGAAGGTAACACTGGGCCTCTCTAGATGGCGGACCAGACTGCTGCAAATGCGTCAAAGCTCCCAAGCCCAACAAACCAAATCCTCTGTACCACCTAGACAGACTGGCAATCTCGTCATGATCTAATCCCAGTAGTGCTCAGATGTCAGCCTCCAGTGCCCACTTTTCCAACTGCCTCGGATCCACTACCATCGCCTCTCCCTCAACCGCAAGCCCAAGAATGTGAGCCACGTCGTGAAGGAGGATCGTCATCTCTCCAAACGGCATGTGGAAGGTGTTGGTATCCGGCTGCCACCTCTCCACAAATGCCGAGATGAGAGCAGGGTCCAGCTCGCTCTGGAAGGTGATATCAATGAGGTGAGCAAGGCCCGATGTCTCTACGGTAGTCCTAGCGTTATCATCTGCTATCACATAACCGTCGAGAACGTGGCGAAGGGTCAAACTCCTGTCGTAGCAAGTGATCACCCCTCTATCAGCCTCTCCAGTGTACATACGGTGGGCAACATGCCCAAGAAAGCTACGTAGCAAACTCGGGTCGCTCGGCCCTCCAGCACAAGGTCCTTTAAGCTCCCAATTAGGGGTGACAATCTGTTTCCCGGTTTTCGGTATAACCGGTTACCGAACCGGTAACCGCCGGTAACCGGTTATACCGAAAACCGGAAAACTCGGTTGTCGGAGGGTAGAAATGCAGCGCCGGTATACCGCCTCCCCACCCGGTATAAACCAACGGTTATCCGGTAAACCGGATACCGTTTGGGAGAGGGGCAAAACGCAACGCTGCAGCCAAAACAGGGGGTCGGGGTCGGGGAAATAGGCAAAAGTCAAAACGAAGAAGGGGCAAAAAAAACCCTAATTCGCCCACTTCGTTCTTCCCCTATTCTGTTCTCCTCTCGGCCTCTCCCTCCAGTCTCCATCTCAGCGCCGCTGCCGAGATTCTTGGCGAGTCGCAGGCCGCCGCCGCAGCTTCATCGCCCTTCCACAGACCACAGGCCGCCGCTCCCGACGACGCCTCCTTCCACCCTTCCCACTCCCACAGTCCACAGACCACAGTCCCACTTCCCTCTCCGATTTTCCTCCCTCTCCGACTCTGCCGTTCGCCCTTTCAAGCCCTTGCCAGACGACGTGTTCATCTTCCCCCGTCGCCGGCGACGAAGCTTGCCTTCGTCTTCCCCAGTCGCCGCCGGCCCACCGTTCTGTAAGTTCTTTCTCTTCCTCTTCCCTTCGTCTTTCTTCTTCCCTGCCCCTCCTGGCCTCCTTGTTTATGTTGTGTTGTTGGTTTGGATGAACAGAGGGCAGAGGGCAGAGGCAGGGCAGAGGCGCAGAGCTGCGAGCTCCTCGACCACGACCAGCCTCCAGAAGTCGGTGTTTCGGTATACCGGTTTTAAACCGTTAACCGGTTTACCGGTTGACAACCGGTAGCGGCATTCGGGCGTGGCTTCAGGGCATTCGGTATACCGTAACCGGTTTATTCGGTAACCGGTTAACCGTTACCGAACCGGTTACCAGCCCTACTCCCAATCCTCTCCCACATCAGCAGTACCACTCTGGCCCTCACCAGTCTGTGGAGATCATTAGAAACGACCCGCATGGTCTCTGTAAATCCCAGTAACAGCATGAACTCCAGTAACGACATGTGACGATCCACTGAGGGCACCTCTGTCTCTGATCGGACTGACTGGTGGGATGCGATACTCAACAGCATCCGACTCATACTCCTCCGACTCGTCATCAATCTCGTCTGAAGGCTCAAACGGTGAAGTATGATGATCAATACTGGGACCAGCTTCACTACCAGCCATACTAGGCAACTGAAAATCAAACTGAGGAAAATGGTCTGCCCTAAATCTCATCGGTGTCACCTGTGGCTGTGGCTCTGGCTGTGGCTCATCTCTATCATTTGGGTCCTTATTTCTCACACTAGCGCTAATGTTACGCCCAATGAATCTTTTCAATCTCTTTGCTGCAGATCCAGAACTATGTGATCCTCCAGAATTACCAGATAACGCCATCTCTAAACATAGACAATAATTTTCTATTAATATCTTATAATAAATTATTTGTTGAGCAATTACTTGTTGTTTCATAGAGTAATTATGATGCATACAATTTGTTATCTACTTAATATTTCGTTTGATGTTATCTACTTAATTTAACTAGATAGTTATTTTACTTAATACAATAGGTAGTTATTTAAATATTTATTTCAACTTACTCAATTACTTAACTTAAATATCATAGATAATTATTTAAAATTAACAATTATTTGCAATTTATTTAATCCAATAATTATTTAAATAAATCATCTATTAGCATAGTCAATAATTATCAATTAATCTCTTATAATAAATTATTTGATTAGCAATTTCTTCATACTCATAATTTATCAATTACTAATTATGATACATACAACTTGGTTATCTAATTAATTTAACTAGATATTTACTTTCCTAAATACGATAGATAGTTATTCAAATAATTATTTCAACTTACCCAATTAATAAACTAACACATTATATAATTAGTTAACAATTATATACTAATTAATCAACTATCAATATTAAATTAATTAAGATACTAACAATTGTATTTAAAATAAATCTAATAAATATTTATTTAAACCGAACCATTCAAACCGAATAAAAAACCCAATCAGACCGGTCCGACCAGCCCGGGCGGGCGGGGTCCGCTCTGGCCGGGCGGATGGGGTCCGCTCCGGCCACACGGACGAGGTCCGCTCTGGCCAGTCGGACCGCGTCCGCTCCGGCCAGTCGGACCGCGTCCGCTCTGGTGTGTCGGACGACGGCTAGAAAAAAATTAAAAAAAAATTACCTCGACCGAGCTTGGGAGGTTGGCGGTGGCGAGAGCGAGCGAGGGAGACTCGATTTGCGGCGGCGAGAGCGAGCAAGGGAGGTCGGCGGCTGCTGTGGCATCCTCTTCGGCGACGGCTTCTGCTCGGTCGGCGGCGGGAGGTTCTTCTGCTCGGTCGGCGGCGGGATTTTGGCAGGAGGGAGGAGGAAGGGTCGTCGTCGGCGGGATCGGCAGGAGGGTGGTGGCGGTCGGCAGGAGGGGGGTGGCGGCAGATGGGTTGGGGGTGGGAGGGAGGAGGTTGAAGGGTTGAGGGTAGATAAGGTTAGGGTTTTAAAATAGGGCAAGGGCAAAGTCGTCTTTTTTTCCCTAACTATGGGCGGCAAATAGTAAAACTACAGGCGGCAAATAGTGATTCATTTCACAAGCGGTACAACAGCAAGTCACATCAGTGAATTCTACGTTGTCTCAAGTGATGAACTTTAGTGGACCTTTGTTGGAGGAAACGACTTGGAAGCCTCTTCTTTTCAATGGGAGCCAGCTCTCAAGGTCTTGTCGACGTTTAAAGAAAGACTCTATCAGCCATGGAAAAAGACGTTCATTCTACTCCTTGGCTTATCCATCTCATACGCGCAGTGGCGGATCCAGGGCTGGGCCAACCCAGGCCCCGGCCCAGCCCTCCTCCGGATTCAGAGTTAGTTTAGTGCTTATAAAATTTTTCGATTTAGGTATTTGGCCCAGTGCTATTTAAAATTCTGCCTAGTTTTATTTGATAATAGGATTTTCTGTAACTAGGAAAATGGTTCAGATGAACAAAACAAGAACGAGGAGACGAGCAGACCCAAAATGGATTTCTCTGCCAGCCCGTCGAGCTGGTTTTCTTTCCATTCTTTTGATTAAGAAAATATTTACAAACTTGCCGAGTCATCATTTAGATGACCTCAATTGAGTGGGGCACTAGATTCTAACCGTTCTTTCTAGTGTTTTGATGAAGAAAATATTTACAAACTTGCTCAAGAGTTTAGCCTCGAGACTTTGAAGGCTATGAGATGCATTCTTTGGAGAATGCACTACTCATGTGAGGAAGATGAAGTTTCTTCTCTTGCAAAATTATTAGAGAAGCTGGAGGAAATAGGGATGGACACATAATACAAATTGATTTGTCGGTTGATTTGTCTAGTGTTGACCTAGCCGTTTCAACAACTACCATGAAGAGAATATTTTCAGCAATGGAACATGAACATTGATTTGTGCAACAAAATGAGCGATGAATTTCTCGTTGATTACTTAGCTATTTTCTTTGAAAAAGAGTATATTATCAGCATGGATGGAGATTATATTATTGATGAATTTGCTAAATTAAAAGACCTTCTTGTACAATTGGCGTTGTAATGAAAACTATATTATTATATATTTTTGTTTATGGTATCTAATATTCTATTCAAATACGACCCAGTGTTCTCTTATGTCCTGGATCCACCGCTGCATACGCGTACTTATGATCCTAGTTGAGATGGAAGTGGAGACCAGTCGATAGTTGGAGATTATGGATCTAACTCAAGGTAGGGAGTGTTGGGAGAGGAATTTTGTCATCAGCAAGAGTTTTGGTAAAGGCCTCTGATCATTATCATTTGGCTAATGGTTTGGCTGAGAGCAGGAAAGTAGAGTTTACTTTTTTTCATATTTTGTGCAGCCAGAGTATAACGAGGAATAGGGCATCCTTTTAGCGTCCCATTTTCTAAAAAAAAAAAGAGTACAACGAGGAAGGCTTGCTAGCAAAGGACCGAGTAATTTCAGAAACAATCTCAAAATTGACCTTGATACTTATTGTTCAAGTTAAAAGACATGGAAGTTCCCTTACATAGGTTATGTTTAGAGGTGTCAATTGGGCGGGTTGGGTCGGTGATGACTCGGTATTTGCACATGTTTTCCCCTTTGTTTCTTGATTGTTTGAGCTTGAATTATCGTGTCTTTGGCCTATTTTACGCTAGGTTGTGTTCCTTTGTCATATTTTCAGGTCCTAGCACATAAATTGAAGCATAGCCACACGGGCATCCTGGAACTCCACACGGCCGTGTGGGTCGTGGCCGTGTGGAAATCACCGAGCCTTCACACGGGCAGCTGGGAAAGCCACACGGCCGTGCGGCCTGACCGCGTGATCGGGAATTCCTGTTTAAAACCCGATTTTCAGCAAAAGGAAAGGGGAGAGCTGGGTTTTTGGTTCCCAAACACCCAAGGGACGAACCCTAGAGAGAGAGAGCGACTTGGGAACATTCTTGGAGCTATTTTGGAGGATTTCTTCGCCATTG